TCCCTACACCACTTGTGCTCTTCTGTGCTGCTATAGTTTGTTGTCCATAAATGGACAAGAGAATTACTGCTCCAGAAGACTGTACATCTCTTAATTCCCTTTTTCCCCCCCGTTTTTACATCATTCTCTACCCAGAAGGACCAGGATTTGCAATTAAGCCTTTTATAACTGAATAGTGGTCCTAATTCTAACCTTTTGTGTGACTTTTGTACCTCTGTTCTCAAGCAGCATTGTGATAGATGTGGATCACTTGCCTGCATTTCTAAGCAATGACTTTGCATGTATCCTTGTTATTTCCCCAATTCCTCTGAATCAAGGGGTTTTCTCTGCATGTATATTAAACTGGGTCTGGATGTAAGTGCAAGCAATAGTGGCAGACCCATAACTGATAAAGAGTACTAATATTCTGATGCATGATTGAAAATGTTGAGTGTTATGTGGTTACTGGGAAATATATATATATATATATATGCATTAATACTGAAGCAATAGAGACTCAAGACAATAGCTTGAATTTATTGTTTGAATTATTGGTTTTTATTTTCGAATAAAAGATTATCTTACTTCCATTGAAAATGGGAGCCAGAAGATAAACAGGGGCCACAAGACATTCAAACCGTCAGGAATAAAGCCTAACGGTGCTCACCCTCTAACTTTCCTGGTTTCAGTAGTCCCCATGCATGTATAAAAACAAAAAAAGGCACAAACTAAGCATGTTGTATAAATAAATAAGCTGCTATGGCTATAATAAAGGTGCAGAGTTTCAGAATGGGTAGGAAAGTAGAAAATACTAGTATGGAATATGTAAAATAGGTATGAGCTTTGACAAGTTTATGTGGCTTAAGTTTGAATCTCTTAAAACTAGTATTTTTGGAAGTGAATAGAGGGAATATGTACACATTTCAGATGTCCCAGGATTTTCAGGTAACTAGGCAACTCTTCTGGATGGTACTGGTATTGACTAGCCATAAAGGATGGCTCAGCAAAGGAGGCCTTTCCATTTGGTGGAAATAGTACTGAAAACATTGACACATCTGTAGTTTGGTTTCTTTTTTGTTACTGTATTATATACTTTAATAGCCAGAGTTTTACCCTTGCTGTTTTGGACAAACTGCATATGTTGCCTAAAGCTTCTGATGCCAGGTAAACAGGAGCAAGTTTCCCCTTCCCATTTATTTTCTTACTTGATAAAGAAAACGTCAGTTTATTGTGGTAGCTTAAAACTTTTGAGATGAATGGATTTGAAATAACTGTTGTAAGTATGAGTGATAATAGCAGTACAAATGTAGCTCATTATGTCTGAAAGAGGCCTAATTAGAATTCAGAATTAGACAAGATGATTTTTACTAGGCCCCTTCCAGATTTCATGTTCTATGAATGAAAAACATTTTTTCTAAATTATTTTAACCTCCTTTTCTTTGTTGTGGGATTTCACGCCATATGTCTTGGAATGTTTAAGTGGAATGGTAACTTTCCAACAATTCAGAATTGAATTAGACTTCTAGTCATTGCAGTGTCAGGTCTCCACTCAAATACAGGAAATGAGATGTAGCATCTCATGTTTAAGTTTTCTCTTTGCTACTTACTGATAACATGTCTGTCAACCAGTGAAACCAATGAAGATTTAAGGACAGTTTCTCTAAACTCTGTCTTGCCATTACTCCATAAAAGCATATTAAAATAGTTAATATTAGTTTTGTCTCCCTTGGTGATGGTATGCAGTGCCATTAAAATACATTTTTCTCCCAGGGGTAAGAGAGATTCTGGCAATACATTATCATCAGTCCTTAAACACCCATCACTAATAATTAAAAAGATTCCTATTTGAGTACCTTTCATATTTTATTTACTGTCCTGTAAATAACAGTTGTGGCTCAGTTTTTACTTGCTATTTTACATCTCCATTGCACCACTGGTATATAAGATGTTGAAAGAATTTCATTGAATGTTTATTACAAGAGGCAGCTTGCTTTTCAATCTATGCATCTTTGGGAGTTTAGAAGAAATTTTATCCTTTGATGTAAAAAGGAACTGCTATAATTGGAGACTCTGCACCTGTGTGTCTGTGTATATATAAATATATTTTGTCAATAAAGTAGCATGGGCTGAGAATGCACTGAAATTTCACTTGTTATTTGTTACTTGGAATGGGTAGTTTCGAATAATGCTATAAATCATGGAAATGGGAGCAGCTTATCTGCAGACCTGCTGAGGTAGGCTGCAGACATCAAAAAGAAAAGACAAAAGGACCCAGGTTTCTTAATATACTGAGTTTCTGGTAAAGAAATTGTGACCTAAGTGCAACAATACACTGTGCTGGAAATCCCTATTGGAAATATGGCATTTAAAATGCTTTTACACTTAATATTTAAATGTTGGCTAGGTTAAAGAGGTCCTAATACTAAATTAAGAAGAGATCCTTCTCTTGCTTCAGGGGAAAGAAAAGGAGTTCGTTCAAATTTAAAGTAAGTAGATGTTCAAACTTCCTTGGGATTTACTGTTACCAAATGGAGGGAGAGGAACAAAAGCTAGGTGGTTTCTGTGGTGTGATTACTGTCACTGTCAGAAACTTAGTTTAACACACAATTACTCTTTACTCCCAGGTACTGTGTTAGATGTTGGGGTTACAAAAATGGAGAGGGTTTCTGCTGTTGAGCTAAAAAATGTACAACTTGGGGAACCTTTAATTTGCAGTTTTATTCTTACAACTATATGGAATTTTGAAAATACTTTCATTCAACATGTACAGTGCTAAATGGTATCAAACTGTAGTGAAGTAGACTTGGAATCTGTTAATAGCAGCCCAGACTATTAGTGATGTTTGTTAGATTTCCAGAAGAGCTTATACCACAGAAAGCTTGTTTAAAAAAGTCAGCCATTTGTGAGAGAATCAATCAATATAATATTCACAGAAGGCATACTATCAAAACTGTAAATGCGCATGCCCTCTGCCACATTTTAGGAATCATTCTCACAGAAATACAGGTTGAGATATGCAAAGGTACATATAAAGATCCAATACAAGAATGGTTAAATTCTGATATATTCATATAATTGAGTCTTGCAGGTGTTAAATAATTGCATATGGGCTGGTATAGGAAATTGTCCATGACATACATTGTGTAAAAACCTGGGTGCAGAAAACACATGCATATCCACATGAGTGCAGGTTGTAATAACTAGTATTTGAGCACTTAATGTGCTAAGCACTGCTTTAATCACATTAGACATTAATACATTTAATCCTCACTATAGTCCTAGTTTTAATCCTATTTAACAAGAAGAGTTTAAGTAAATTATTCAAGTTCATGGAATATTAAATTTCCCAGCCACAATTTGAATTCAAATAGTTTGGCTCCAGAGCTTGCTCACTTCCCAGCATGGTATATTGTGTCTCTAGAAAGACAGGTGTTACCATCACCCTTTATTTTGTCATGCATATATACATACATTTTTTTTCTAGAGTGAGCATGTTTTATTTGGGGAAAAAATCTATTTAAATCAGCTTAGTTTGATGTCAAAATCAAGCATTTAATACCAAAACAGCAAATCCAGGTTAAGGAAAAGGGCTACATAAAAACAGCTTTTTACATGGGTAGAGGACTTGAACAGACACTTCTCCAAAGAAATACAATGGCCAACAGGCACAAGAAAAGATGCTCCACATCACTAATCATCAGGGAGATGCAAATTAAAACTACAATAATGGCCACTATCCAAAAGAAAGACAAGAAAGAAATGCTGGCAAGGGTGCAGAGAAAGGGGAATTCTACGCTGTTGGGAATGTAAAATGGTGCAGCCATTGTGGAAAGCAACATGGAGGTTCCTCAAAAAACTAAAAATAGAAATACCATTTGTCCCAGTATTTGCACTCTAGGAATTTACCCAAAGAAAACAAAATCCCTGATTTGAAAAGACATGCACCCCTATTTTATCACTGCACTACTGGCAATAACCAAGATGTAGTAGCAACCTGTCCATCAATAGATGAATGGATAAAGATGTGGTACACATTCACAATTGAATATTCAGCCATAAAAAGAAATCTTCCCATTTGCAACAACATGGAAGAATCTAGAGGGTATTATGCTCAGTGAAAAAAGCCAGGTGGAGAAAAACAAATGCTATATGATTTCACTTGAGTATAAAAACAAAGCAAAACGGAAAACAGCAGTAGACTCAAAAGACACTGAGAAGGGACTAGTGGTTACCAAGAGGAGGGAGGATAAAGGGGACAATAATTCACAATCACAATGTAAGCTGGTCATGGGGAAAGTAGTGAAAAAAATAGTCAATGATTCTGTAACATCTTAGCCACGTTGATAGGTAATAGTAACCGCACTAGAGGGGGTGAGGAATTAATAATATGGGTAACTGCTGAACCACAGTGTTGTGTATTTGAAACCAACATAGGATTATGTATTGATACGTTAAAATTAAAAACCAGCTTTTTAATTTGGATAAAGGAAATATGTTGAGGCAGACATACCTACACACAATAAAAAAGCCCAGGATGATTCAATACAGTATTAATTTATTAGGTCCCATCCTATAAAAGTAGAAAGTTAAGAATATTTCTGGTACTGTTCATTGCCAGAGGCCTCCCCCTTGCTCATGGAACCAAATTTTATGATTCACAAGTATGAAGCAAATCAGAACTTTCTCCAGTTTTTAAATATTTTTTAAGGAAAAGACCCTTTATGCAGTATAAAATGAAAAGAGCCTGATACCTAAAAAAAAACTAGCTATATGTGAGCCAAGTTAATGTCTATGTATCATTTGAGTGTGCAAGTGTCAGCCCCTCCTTGGTGTTCTTCTTGCCTGCCTGTTCTCCAAAGGACAAACATAATGAGGTTCTAAAAAAAAGAATTTGATCTTGTAGCCACCTCCTGTGAAATCCAAGGGCTTCCCATTGTTGTGATAGAAACAAGGGTCCTTCAGGTCAGTAAGGCTTTGCTCACCCTGGCTTCTGGCCACCTTCACAACTCCTGCAGGACTTCTTTTTTAGGACCTCACAAGGCCTTTGTGTACAGGGTGTTCACTCCATCACCTTATTAACTCCTAGTCATATTTCAGGCCATTGCTGAAATGATTTCCTCAGACGGGCCTTCTCTGACTCCCAGACTAGGGCAGTTACCTGCTACGTGTGCTTGTAGCTCTATCTTTGAAACCCCTACTATAGTCATAATTTTATACATGTTCACATGGTTATTTCAACATCCACCTTGACTAGATTATAAATTCTAAGGAGAGTGACTGTTTCACTTACCTTTTATCCCTAGCAGCTGGTATAATACCTTATAAATATTTATTAAATGAATAATATGATAAGCTACTGAGCCAAGTGCTACATAAAGCAAAAAGTGGGAAAACAGCATTTTGGTGGATGTTTGCTGTTTTATCATTCCTTTCATTACCATCCTGTTAAGCTCAGTTTACAACTGAAAAGAAAAAGTTCAACTGTATATTATCCAGTCAACTTATTGAATATTACCTACAAAACATGTATGTAACTATATTTTACATAAGAAAAAAATAGCTTCTCAGTATTCATATAATAACTGCTCCATGTAGGAATAATAGTAGTCAACATTAAGTATAAAACTATTTCTAGACCAACCATGCATCTTTAGATCAGACCACTCATGGAACACTGCCTCTTAATCCCTAAATTTGCAAATAGGTTTTTAAGGCAAATAGCTATGAGACCTGGACAGAATCCTTAGTTGCTCATCTTCTAGACACAGCTTCACAAATCATCTAGAAAATCAGCCTAGAGGTAATCACAATAAACCACATTTCCCATCCATTCTTGAAGCTGATCTTTCTCAAGAAACAGTCAAACAGCACCTGTTCAAGATACCAATAAGGCCTGATTCTGACACTCAGGCTTTGGTTCTGGATCAGTTGTCTGGCTTGGACTGGTCAGGAGTTGCTTCCTTCAGAATCTTCATCAGTGAATTTAAGCGAGTATGCATTAACATTATCTTCTCTTTCAGCTGGGAAGAGAAATACATAGGTATCAGGTCATCTTAAGCTTAACTGTCAACTTGCTAATTCTAGAAGCCACTTCACATTTAAAGTAATGATTGAGAGCTGGCAATCATTATGGCAATCTCATAAATACATTTGTTCTGTTCTGAAAGAACTATACAGCAAACCTAGAGTGCAGTAAACTCCTCATATAAAGTGTCAGGTGAAAAAAGACCAGCCATTGCTGAACATCACAATTTCAGCATCTCCGTATCTCCAGCCTTCCTAGCTCTTATCACCAGGTTTAAATTACAAAAATTCAGGAAACAAGAAAAGGTGAGGTAAGAGGGTTTATGGAGACAAGCATTTACTAATCCTCCCCTCCTTGTCCACTGGCAAGAATCTTTTTCTCTCTGTTCACAGTAATAAATGCCTTCTTTAATATTGTGCTGTCAGTCTTAAAAAGTAGCTCTGGTTATCAGATTTAGACAGCTGTTCACTGTAATTTTCAGTAGTTCTTTCACCTTAGAATAGCTATGATCTAGAACCACTTAGTAATGTTATTCAGCATACATACAATATGTACATATACTTAAATAAAATTACCATGGAATATAGAATTATGGGTAACAGTCTTCTGCTGCAGTTAACCAAAACTCATTTCTCATATAATTTACACAGTAAACTAAATCTGATTTTTACGATCCAAGATACAAATATAACCAAAATTCATCAAGAAATTTTGCTTAAAGAGGTAACTCTAGCGCCTATTAATCTTATTCGGGTGCCATTGGACATGCTGAATCATTTGTTGCTGCTTTCCAGATTTTTTTCTCTTTATCTTTCAACATTTTTACTCTGCTGTATTGGGGTATCAATCTCTGCATCATACTGAGCGTGTTGATGTTTTAGATATGTAATGTTCTTTATCAAACCTGGGAAGTTTTCAACCATTATGGCCTCGAATATTACATTTCTTTCTCTCCTCTCCTTTTGGTGCCCCCATTACCAAAGCCTATTGAAGGGTGCTTGATGATGTCCGACAGGGCTCTCCGGCAGTTATTTTTCCTCATTCTTTTTTGTCGGATAGCATAATCTCATCCATCTATCTCCAAGATTGTTGATTCTGTGGGTTGATTCTGTGGGTCTGACTGTTGAATCTGCTGTGGAGGCCTAGTGAATTTTCATTTTAGTTACTGTATTTTTCAACTACAGGATTTTTATCTGGTTCTTTTTTATAATTTCTATATCTTTAACAGTATTCTCTATTTGATGAGATATTACCATACGTTCCTTTACTTCTTCAACAATGGTTTTCCCTATTTTTTTAAAATACAGGCAGGCATACTTCATTTTATCATGCTTCTCTTTATCGTGTTTTACCGATACTGCATTTTTTATAAATTGAAGGTCTCTGGCAACCCTGAGTCAAGGAAGTTTATTGGCACCATTTTCACAACAGCATTTACTCGCTTTGTGTCTCTGTGTTACATTTGGTAATTCTCAAAATTTCAAACTATTTCATTGTTACTTTATTTGTTATGGTGATCTTAGATCACTGATTATGGTTTGCTGAAATCTCAGGATGATTGGCATTTTTTAACAATATTTTTTAAGATACGTATTTCTAGACATAATGCAATTGCTCATTTAATAGACTATAGTATAGTGTAAATGTAACTTTTATATGAACTAGGAAGCCAAAAAACTTATTTGACTGGCTTTTTGCAGTATTTGCTTTATTGAGATGGTGTGGAACTGAATCCACAATATCTCTGAGGTATACTGTATTGAGAACAGCTGCTTTGAAGGCTTTGGTAAGTCCAACCTCTGGGCTCATGTTGCACAGAAAGCTTCTGGATACCTTTTAATCCTGTGGATGGGTCACACTTTCCTGTTTCTTTGAATGTCTCCTAACTTTTTATTGAAAACTGGACATTTTAGATAATACATTGTAGCAACTCTGGATACTAAACACTGTCACCCCCAACAACCTTCTTGGTTTTGTTTGCTTGTTTAATGAGTTGGTTAGACTCTTTGATCAATCACAGTGGGCAACCTCTGATGTCACTCCTGAGGACAAGTCTTCGGTTTGTGCGGTCACCTGGAACGACTCTTTGCAGGACTCTCTTTGACTCTCCCTAATCTGTGTTAATCAGTCTGCCTCCACTGGTGTCACACCCAGTGTTGGCCTCCACTAATTGCTCATTGATTGCACTACTGTTTTTTGTTTATGTGCCCTGGGACATAAATTGTTTCACAGTCTAATCCAATGAAAATCAGACCCCTTTGTAGGGACAGCTTTTAAGCAAGTGTTTTTTTGTTCAGACCCCAAGAGAGCTCTTCTTAGCTATCTATTTCCCTGGTACTTTGGTAGAATTCTAAGTAGTCTGTAGTTTATCTCGTTGCTCTCGTGGAACTACCATCTTCCTCTTAATTGCTAACCACCAAAATCTCCATTGTTTGGGGGATCACCCTTAGACCTGAACATCTCTTAACTCCATGTCAAATAAAGTCAAGTTCACTGGGAGAGCTGGAAACTTGTTTTTGCAATCTGCCGCCTCTTATCCTGGGCTCCCAAGCCTGGGGTGTGGGTGGTGTCTCTCAGAATGACACCCCTGCTTTATGAGCACAGTGCTGAGCAGAGACAGTGACCTCTTCTCAGCCTACCTTTGCCAGCATGAAACTTATGCCCTAAAAGTAAGTTGGGACAAGGGTCAATGGGTTCCCAGTACTCTTAGCCGACTGTGGCTGTGACAGAATTTGCACACACAATGGCTGTTCTTGCCTGGAACAGAGCTTCTGATGAGAAAGGCTGATAGTTGGCCACTCCTGGGAAGATACCACTGCCCTCAACTGGTAGCTAAAGGGGAAAAGAATTCCTATGTTCCTGGCTTGTATCTGTCCAGAGAGCCTGCCTCCCTCTGAGCTGGAGAAGCGTGGGAGGGAGGGAGCAGGTTGTGGCTCAAATGCCACAGGCTTTCACTGTTCTTAATGAGGTTTAATAGACTTTCTTAAATAAATATCTCCTCATTTGCTTTATGCTTTGAGAAATAACAGACTTAAGATGGTTGTTTTCTTTATAATTTTCTTCAGTTATGGCTGTTACCTGGGGATGGGGGTCCATGGAGCTCCTCAGGCTGCCATTCTAGAAGTTATCTCCCATTTGAATTACAGTATTTATGACCTCCACCCTCTCACACCAGCCCCCCATCAATTTAGCTTAGAGCAAGGATTGGCAAACTATGGACTACAGATTGTCTGCTGACTGTTTTTGTAAATTAAAGTTTTATTGTAACAAGCCACACCCATTTGTTTATATACTGCCTATGGCTGCCTTTGCACTACAGTTGTTGAGTTGTGTAGAGACCAAATGATCACAAAGCTTAAAATATTTGTCATCTGGTCATTTACAGAAAGTTTGCCAACACCTGGCTTAGAACACGGTTTCATAAAGTTAATTAGGTATGTAAAACAAAAAATAAAATCACTGTTCCCCTGACCTAAAAGGTATTTAAACTTTGAAAAATAAATGCCATTGGTTATAAATGTATAATTAGCAAGGAACAAACTACTATCACTACAAAAAACAAAGCCAAAAATAAAATTTAAGACTGGTCTTCTGAAAGCAGTAAAGTTATAGCCAAATGTCCACTCAGAATGAGTCATCAAAATACCAAAACAAAACTGTTTTCTTCAACTCAAAACCATCAACCCCTAGTAAAACCCATTTAAAAAAGAATTTTTAATGATTTAAGGGCATTTAATGATTTAATGAGGCATTTAAGCATAAGGTGCTTGCAAAGAGGACAGATCTAAGATGATGGGGTCCATTCCCAGCACAGAGGAGAGAGTAGGAATGCAGCTGAGGCACTTTCTACCTTCTTCTGAACTAGACCTTATAATATGGCTTTAATATTTTGCTTTGTGTCACAAACTCAATAAGGAATCCAAACCAAGTATCAACGATTACTTGAGTATCATGCCATTTCATCACCAAGTTCACAGTACAAATTACCAGGATTGCTTATATTAAACAAAACACACAACCATCATGAAATTTTACCTCTGCAACCTTTTCTGGTAGAGGCATGTTGTGAATATCCATCTCAGATGCATTTACTATGGCTTTTGTTTTTAAGAGATAGCTAGGTAGAAAATTAGAGAGAAAATATTAGTACCACACCGGTTAAGATTATTAATGACCCAAACTTTCTCTCTAAACAGTATCTTTCAAACAAAGACTACCTTTTTACTGATCAACATTTCATGATCCATAATGTATTTGCAGGAGAAACAAATTCTGAACAAATCATGAGAGGGATTCTGTACCTCATCCCACCCCTTGCCAGCCAGGAATACATGAGACAAAATTATCCCAGGATAAACTAAAGACAAAATTCAGTGTCATATGAATAATGGTGATGAGTATAAACTTCACACTCTACCACAGGTCATGCCACACTTAGGAAAAAAGTAATCATGTTATGATAAATACTGTTGGTTGCCTATTCAGTAGCCATTCTCATTTCTTTCATGCTAAGTACCCATATTTAGGGCAGCAGTGTACCTAGTTCTAGGAGATGAATCAGGACTGTTCTAAGCCAACTGTAGCAATCTTATTCCCTGTTGTTACATATTTGCTTTTCCACCTTAAGAAACAACCGTGTGACATACTTCTGGCCAATAATAAGGAAATTTTTGCTGATAAAAGGAGACAATTCCCTGTGTTCCTACTTCCTGATCTTTTTCCTTACAGGGAAAAGAATGCTACTGTCTATGGATGTAATGCTTATAACTACAGCAGCCATCCTACACCCAAGAGGAAAAGATCAAGAGAATCAGAGATGCTGACCCAGAGACTTGTCATGGCTGAGCCGCTGGACTCCTGGTTTGGCCAACTGCCCCGAGCCCTTACTTGTTAGAGTCACTGTTAGAATGTAATGGAAAACCTGACCATCTATAGAATGCAACCAAGTGCATTCTGATGCATAGAGACAGAGATTTATTATCTTCCCAGATTCATGCCTCTTAGTTTCCTAATGTCTACCTAATCAAAAAGAACATGCTAATCTTTGAGTTCAACTCATATTAAAGATTAATTACTTAAAATCATATAATGTTTTTCAAACTTATATTAAAAATTTTTGTTACTAAAAGCTTGTTTTCCTAAGCAAAAATTCAATTATAGCTCTGGTGGAACAATTACAACTTTCCTGAGAAAATATGAGGTTACTAATTAAACATTTAGAGATACTATTTCCCCCTCTTTAAATGTAATTCTAAACAGAAATTATTTTAGAAACTAGAAATTGAATGCAAAATATCAATCCATGTCAAGTATCTATTTTCTGTTGAAAATTTGCAAAGAACAAATAGTACAATGACCAATCTCATGGTAAAGGATGGGCTTTATAAGTTTTATTGTTTAGTCTTCTATAATTCAGCTAAAAATTACCTATCTAAACTAAGCACATTAAATGAGAAAAAGGAAACTTTCTGCTTTATGAAAGGAAAGGAAAACAAGCTTTGGAGTTAACACATGGATTAAAATCTCAGCTCCCCCACATCTCTGAGTCCTGTGCTTTTATATTAAGAACAAACTAGATAAACATAATGCCTGCCACAAACCAGGTCATCAGTGCTGTTTTTTTTTTTTAATGATCAAGAAAGACTTTGATGGATGTTTCAGTTAGTTGTACTAAACAAAAAAGCCTAAGTAAAAAGTTGAATTTATTAGGAAGATAGATAAATAAATATCCAAAGTAATTCATGAGAAGGGACAGCCAGTAGGGGACTTTTTCTGACTCTGTGAGGCCACATGGTCATTATATTTTACTTTTCCTTATGTATCTATCTGCTTTATTCTTCTTTTTCTGCAGATGAGATTTCTCTGCATCTTAGAAAATAGCTACCCCAAGTCTAGAGCTTTCACTTTCCAACTTCAGCAACAGTGCTATCTACAAATGACCAATGCCTCCGGGCCCTTATTTCAAATTCCTAGGGTAGAAGGCCTGATTGGCTTAGCTTAGGTCAGGTACTCACTCTTGATCCCATTACCTAGGAGCTGGTATCACAAATACAACAGGGCCACAAGGTCCTACCCTTTGGGGGAAAGATGGGGGCTGGGCACAAACCCCAAAAGTGTCTACAATATTATTTTGCAGAAACCTACCTTCCAGAAGTTTCTGTAATAAAAGAATATCCTCTCAACTATTCCGTGGTATGATTACTAAGATATAAGACATCTAAAATGATAATATTAAGAGACTATATTTTGGTTCCAATGTCTTTTTCTTAAGAGAAAGTACCTAGCTTTAGCATCCTCTTTCATATAAACATTCTGTCTTTTCTCGAAGATATTTTAAATTTTATTTGACTATATTACAGTTATTTATTTATTTGAAGAATATCTAAGTCTACTCACCATACCATTTTGTCACTGGAAAGGCAGAAGTGACCTCTCAAGGCAGCCAGGGCAGCATGGGTAGAATACAGATGAAAACCAATAGAAACACCACAGGAACTACAGAATAGAAGGTTGTAAGTGCTGGTGGGAGGGGAAACAAATATGGGTAAGAGAGAAAGTCAGAGAACAAACACTATAACCTGTCTCGGGAAGCATTCCTAAAAACTATGCTACAGTAGGAATGAAACTGAAAGCATGTCCATTCAAGAAAGGTTAACTCAGGTTTTAATATAATTACAACCTAGATTACAGATACTTTTGTGGATTCCGGCCACAAAAACAACCATAGATGTTCAATTGTCACTTCAATAGAGAAAGGTAAGTTATATCTGAGAAGGAGAAAAAGAGCTAATTATATTAACATTTAAATACACAAAATTACATGCGACCATATAAATTAGCTACCACTAAACCAATTTCCAGTTGAAGTAAAATAATCAAGTTGATTGGGGCTTAACAATTTACTAATTTACTGAGCAATTTACTAACAGAAACTCAAATCAGGATATTTCTTTTGCAGATGTAACAAAAAATTAACTTAAAAAAATTACCCAGATGAAATACAAAAGAAAAGAAAAGGAGTCCTACTACCCTAGCAAGCCATCTCTTTTCTCTGTGTTTATCCTCTGGAATATTACCGGATAAGCAATCAGGAAATCTTGACTTTAGTTCTAGTTACACCACTTGAGAAAGTCACTTACAACAATAGCTGGTAATAAGACATCTCATTACAAAGAAATGTTTCAAGAAAAAATTTGTTTCATCATGCAAGTACTGAAAGCCATGTTAAAGAAGTTTGGTAAGGGAAACAATTATTTGTATAAACATAATATACTATGTAGTAAAACTATACATGGAGAATAAAAAAATCACATGGCTAAAAAGAAACAGATGCACATCAATGGATACTAAAAAAGATCAAGCAACATTTCCCTTCTTACAGCACTAAATTATGTTTTCTACCTTTATCTTGCATCTACCTACCACTTCAGCATTTTATTAAAAAAAAATAAGGGAAAAATATGGGATTCACATATAAATCAAGTATAAAAATCAAACGAATAATCATATCTGACTTGATTGTTTATAGTTCATGATGTGTGATCAAAACCGAAAGTTTCTGTGATATGACTGCCCTTGCACTGTTCACCATGTAAGAACTTGTTCACTATGTAAGAACTTGGTCACCATGTAAGAACTTGTTCATTATGCTTCAGAAGATTGGAGACTGTTGAGAATTAGGCTTGGGGTTGATTAATGATTATTCATTGAGTCCCCTACACAGAATTTTATTGTTGTTAACAACCATTTGATCAATAAATATGAGAGATGACCTCTCAAAAAAAGATCAAGCAGTAACATACACTAAATGTATTGGTAAATAAAGTCCCACACCACTCACGTAGTACTGTATTTTTGTGAATATGGTAACCAAAAAGCAAGCCTAGAAGTAAAATTGCATAATTTTGAATTAATTCCTATGTAGAAATCAGTTATATTAGAAAAGCACAGGTATTATAGAAAAATGTCACATAGAAACTAATGTGTGCACAGAGAAAAATTCAAAGAAATCCCCAAACTATGGTTATGCATGCAATATAAACACTTCATTAGTCTGCTAATGACCTAGGTTCTTCAAGGAATGAAGGTTTGCCTCATCATACCAGGTAGAGAACTATGACCAGCCGAGTGCTTGCTGGAGGCAAAGGGAACACAGATGGTTAGTGGAAGAAGGTAGTTATATAAATATCAGCTATGTGAGCAGTTGGAGAAAATGAGGACTGTATCTATCATGGGTATTTCCTCGTTTTGTTATGAATGTTTGTCTATATATGTGTTTATCTGTTTTCTTCCCTCATCTTATCCCCTTATCATGTAACATAAGATGTGTTGACTTTATATCATAGTATTTAAGTATTATTAGTTTTACATACTCGCATTTAAGTTTCGAGATTATCAGAGATCGGGCACATTCAGGGTGGAATGGCCAGAGAGTTGTGAGGTTATCAAGGAGAAAGGTAAACATCACTTAAGGGCTACCTCCTTTTCTGGAGAAGGGGTTAGTACATACTCAGCTGTATGCAGGATCGTTTTAACTTGTTAGGCAGAATTATGACCTTGTTATCTTTATTTGGAGATTAAATATGGTTTTAGGAGATGTATGTGGGTGCCAAGTTAATAAGTGATGGCTAAACTTTATGTGTCAACTTGACTGGGCCATAGGGTACCCAGTTATTAGGTCAAACATTATTCTGAATGTGTTTGTGAGAGTGTTTTGGAATGAGATAACATTTGAATCAGTAGACTGAGTAAAACAGATTGCCCTTTCTAGTGTGGGTGGACCTCATCTAATCAGCTGAAGGAATGAATAGGAAAAAAGGCTGACCTCTCATGAGTAAGGGAGAACTCCTCTTGCCTGAATGCCTTGAGTCGGAACACATGGCTTTTTTTCCTGCCTTTGGATTTGAACTGTATTCCAAACATTGTAACATTGGCTCTTCCTGGGCTTTGGAGATGCTGGCTTTTGGACTACAACTTACACCTTTGGCTCCTAGTTCTCAGGCCTTTGAACTTGGACAAGAACTAAACCATTGGCTCTCTTGAGTCTCCAGCTTGCAAACTACGGCTCTTGATTATACCCTCTATAATCACATGAGCCACTTCCCAATAATAAATTTCCTCCTGCCAAGTCCCATGGCTCCCCTTATTCCAAAAATACAGAACACATGGGACTTACCCTCCAGTGTTTTATATGCCATCTAGATCACTACTGTCTCAAAGGCATATAATGTGAGCCACATAATTTTTAATATTGTCTTACTAAAAACAAAATCTGAAAAAAAGGTGAGAATATGGCTAATGATTCTGTAACATCTTCCTATGTTGGCAAATAGAAACTACACTAGTTAGGGTGAGGATTTAATAATATGGGTAACCATTGGCACCACTGTGTTGTATACTTAAAACCAATGTAAGATTGTATATCAACAATACTTTAAAGAAAAGGTGAAATTAGTTTTAACATATTTTATGCTACTGTGTCAAAAATATCATTTCAACATGTGACCAATATTTTTAATTGTTTTTGTACAAAGTGTTCAAAATCCAGTGTGTATTTTGCACTCAGTATATCTCAATTCAGAATGGCCACATTTTAAGTGCTCAATAGCTACATGTAGACAGTGCTTACAGTATTGGACATCAAAGGACTAGATGCATTATCCTAAGAAGATACTCAGAGAGCCTCTGCCTCTGGCCGCCCAGTGACCCAGTTCCAAGTAGACCATCACTCCTTCCCTCTCTATTCCCTTTGGGTGGGAAGAGGACATTTCGGTAAGGATAGGGAGTGTCTCAGTTGGGAAAGAGGAGTTGCAGAATTGCTCCTTGTTACTGAGTAAACCAACTAAGAAGTCCTATACTTTTATTTAACCCTAAAACTGAACCCAGCCATGGTCAGAATGAATTGTCTTGCTTTTAAAGCCAACACTCAAAATTGAGGAGCCTTATAAATATTAAATTCACCAAGTACCTTGCTGTCACTTGTAAATCATAGTACAGGCAAGATGCAAAGTCTACCAGGCAATGTTCAAGTACGTGACATTCAACTTGCGATGTTCCCCAGGTTCCGAGGTTACAGCAGAATTACTCCTGCCATTGCTTATTACAAACTCCAGGCTAAATACAAACTTAAAAGTTCCAGTTATCTCCAAAGATTGTAGTTTATAGTAAGTGATTTTTTTCTCCACCAAAAGATAACTTTCTCCTTTTTTCCTACTACTACACATCTTTCTTAGCCTTACTTGCACAAGCCACTAAGGGAATGTGGCTCTCAGAAAGCTGTTAAAATCTACACACAAATAGAATTTTTACATTTCATTTATACACCAAGTTCATACAAGACTCTGGTAAAAGGAGCGTCCTTCAAATAAACTGTATGGATGGAATAAACTTTTCTGCTAGCGCAAACAGAAACAAACCATTTTCACCTCCTGCTTGTAGGTTCCACGCTCCTCGGTCTCATTAAGTTCTACAGACCGATCGGGAATTCTTAGTACCTACCTGCCTTTGAGCGACCCTTCAATGCCAAATAGCAAGGGAGCTTCCCAAACCACGTTATTTGTGACTCCTAGGAAAAGAAACACCGGTCAGAATGAGTATCTGAGAAGTCTTGAAAGGGAAAACCTCCCCCCGTCCAGACAGACTCGCCATGCCCACATGAAAAGTTGCCCCCACCCCTGGCAGAGTTTAATTTTCCTTCCAAATTTCCCCTTCCTTCCCGAGCTGACTCGGCCACCAGGTAAAAAAACTGAAACACCCCCTCAGAGTCCCCCAGACTCCGCCCCACTCACTGGAGAAGACCACGGCTGCGAGGGACCGGGAGAGGTCCCAGGCGAGGTGCACGGAGTCAGCGAGCACGGCGTGGCACTGAGCGCACTGGAACACGGCGCACCTGTCGGGCTGCAGCCACCACGGCAGCTGCAGGCCGGACGGCAGCTCCTCTGCCCCCAGCCCCGCGGGGCCTAGCGGCGAGGACCCCTTCACCACCTGCGTGTCCCACTCCATAGAAGTCGCAAAGGAAGGTTCGTCAGTAGCCTTCTTAACGCCATCATCAAAGTTACCCCGCGGCAGCTTTGCATATCTCGAGGGGTGCCGCCGCGGCCGAGACGCCATCTTCTGTAACCGGCTTTTGAAAGAGCAGCAGGTCCCGCCCCAAGCACTGTTCTTACGTTCTCATTGGACATCGTGAGCTGGTGGCTCCGCCCCGCTCTCGCGGCCTCTGGCGCCTCGGCGCCTTGTGTTAGTGAGGGATGGGAAGAAGGTGCAGCTGATTGAGAGGGGAATCATCCTTTCTATTGGTCAACGCCCGAAAAACCCCGCCTTTCAGACATTTTAACCAATGGGAGTGCAGCATTCTTTATTTAAACTGTGTATAAAACTCGGCTTAGTCAACGCTTTTTACGCCATCTTCTGTAACCGGCTTTTGAAAGAGCAGCAGGTCCCGCCCCAAGCACTGTTCTTACGTTCTCATTGGACATCGTGAGCTGGTGGCTCCGCCCCGCTCTCGCGGCCTCTGGCGCCTCGGCGCCTTGTGTTAGTGAGGGATGGGAAGAAGGTGCAGCTGATTGAGAGGGGAATCATCCTTTCTATTGGTCAACGCCCGAAAAACCCCGCCTTTCAGACATTTTAACCAATGGGAGTGCAGCATTCTTTATTTAAACTGTGTATAAAACTCGGCTTAGTCAACGCTTTTAGAGGCGGCAGTTTTGAGTGGGTCTGTCGGGCTGGAGGGCTGGTTATCTACGTGGTCGCCCGGATTGCATTTCGCGATGATCGTTCCCTCTCTGGAGGAGCTGGACTCCTTCAAGTACAGTGACCTGCAGAACTTGGCCAAGAGTCTGGGCCTCCGGGCCAACCTAAGGGTACGTTCTGTGACGGGCAGGGTGGTATGAGCAACCTCGGGGAGACGCTGCGGTGGGAAAGGACCGAGCGAGCGGTAACCCCGGCAGCTGAGGCTGCTGGCCCATCCTTGGGGCTGCAGGTTTGGTTAACGAGGGCCTTGCCATTTCCGCAAAACGGAAAGGGATCCATAGTCTTCCATCTTATTTCGAGGCTGACTTTTCTGGGGGCTGACAAAGGCCTCGGCTTCAAAGGGGTTTGCTGTTTTGTGGGGATTTTTTTGTCTTTTTTTTAACTGAACCATAGTTCATATACAGTATTACATTAGGTTGGTTTGGTTTTATTGCATGTACTCTGAAATTTCCCAGGGCATCAGTTAGGAAACGCAGGCCCAGCACCCTCAGGGAATGCTGTATCTAATACCGATTGTTAGGCAGTCGCGGAAATAATTGCCTTGGCTTCTGGAAAAGTCCAAACAGCAACATTTCTGGCTTCTGGAAAAGTCCAAGCAGCCGCAGATCTCTTTAAACGTTACTGGGGAACTTGGAAGAAACGATTTATAGGAGTCCACCCCCGTGGATAAATTTTTGTTTATTCAGCCCTCATTTTCCAATGATTATGTATCGCTATTGTGGTAGTGTTCTGTTTCAAAACCTGTAAGGTCTTTGATTCCAAGGCTGCAAAACGCTGGGAGGGGAATTATGGGGATTCAATTTGAGATTGGGGTTTACATATTCTAGTGGAATGCTAATGTACTTGGGAGATTTGTTCTGTAGGTGTAGTTATTTATACTGAGTGAATGCCTAAATCAGCCATTACAAATGCTTTTAAATGGTTTCAACAAAATAATCAATGCTCAGGTACCCGTTGGGGCTGAATGTCTAAAGGTATGTATGTCTTTGGAGGTATTTCTGAGCTATAGTGCTTAATGGCTCCTCAATACTTTATAAACAAAGCTTTAATTCCTCAGTTTAAATCCATAAATTTTTTGCCATCTTTGCTGGAATCTTTTATCCAAGGCACCTGTCCGTCTTTCTGCCTTTGCTAATTTTGACCTTTTGGCGTCAGATGCACGTCTCTTTCCCTATTTATATGCATGAATAATTTCCAATTATTTTTCAGAGTCCAACTAAAATATCATTGACTTGATGCTTTGTCCCCTTCTCTTCATTCCCTTGGACATCGGTCCTCCACTCCAGTAATCCCAGGAGCCCTCTTTTAAAACAGTTTAATTTCAAGTACTCTCTTTGAGCACTCTCAGGCTTCTACCTTGCATTCTTGTTATTTGTGTATATATATTCTCTACTAAAAGTTAAGCTCCTTGGACAAGCATTTCATCCATTTCACCTTGGATCTCTACAGCACTAAGTGTGGTACAGTTTATAAAAGGAGATACTGAATAATTATTCAGAACTATTTACAATTGCTTCTTGGCAGTGCTAGAATAATTCACCAGAGCGTGACAAGAGAGTTACAGTGAGGCCTCCTGAGTTCAGAGCTCTGACTAACATTAAGGCCCCACAACCATTTAGATCTTTGAAGAGCTATAACAAGTAACATCTTTTTCTGAAAGTCGTACCTATCGTTGTCTCTTGAGGCACCTGACCTGGAGTAGCCCATCACCTGTTTTCACAGAGTGGTGTAGTACGGTATTTTTTGTCACTGTAGACCCCATTGCCTAACACACTGTCTGCCACAGAGTAGTTGTCAGTAGATATTTGTTGAAAGGTACTATTTCCCAGACAAATTTAACCATACAAGGCTTTATTATAGCCAACTATAAAAAGACACGTTTGAGATGACTGGAGAGAATTAAACTTGGACTAGATATTAAAATATTTATGGTATTAATTTTGTTGGGTGTGATAATGGTATTGTTATGTTTCTCTCCCTCCCTTTCTCTCTCTCTTTTATAAGTCTTTGTCTCTTGGTAATACATGCCAAGTATTTACAGGTGAAATATGGTGCCTGGGATTCACTATAACATACTCCATGAAAAAGGGGGGATGAGCTGAAGTAAGAATAGCAGAATGTTGGTAATTGTTGAAACTGGGGGATAGTAACATTGGGATTCAATGGACTATTCTCTCTACTTTTGTATCTGATAAAAATTTTCCATAATTGAAACGTTCTAAGTTATTTTCAGTTGATGTGGCCCAGGAGCTTATGAAATCAGTTTTATTTTTAAATTTTGAGTACATTGCACAAAATGAATAAATTGCTCTAAAAAATTATCAAGATTTGGTTATTTTAAAACCCTTACTTAACAAAGTAAGACTTGTTATCATTTATGTTATCCTTACCAGTATGACAACATTCAAAATAAATTTAGAGGAGAAAATATTAGCTCTTTTTTTTTTTGAAACAATACTCTTAGTGGTAGGGCCAAATGAAGGAGTCGGTTACTAACATTTACTGTGTGGCCACTGGTCGTTTTCTCACTCATGCCCTCCCTTTCCTTCTTGCAAGCTTAGATGACAAAGATGGGCACTATTTCCACTTTGTTGCAGCTCGCCTTCCTCACCAAATCTGATTAAACCCACCTCTGTGCTTAATCCTTCTATGTACCTCACCAGCTGATTCTAGCTGGAGAAAATCACTGAACTTTGTCAACTGAGCTTAATTTTAAATGTGTAACCAGAAGTCATAAAATGAGCATTTGATTCAATGACACTTTCATGGTGGTAAGTCATTAATTTTCCCATTTTTGAAGATAATTATTTCATATCTTCTCACCTCAGATTGATTCCCTCCCCTTACTTGATGACTTTTCCTCATAGGTCATGGAAAAATAGGTGCCATCAGCTGAGAATTACCTCATCTTTCCACCCCCAACTAGTCTTGCAGCTGTCCCTGCACTCCACCTTCTGCCTGGTAGCAAGAGGCTATGCCTGAGGGCGACCTTACCATTTGTGCTGAGGATCCTATCCCCTCCTCTAGGGCTACCTTGCTGCAATTGGATCCCTAGCCTACATCAGTTTCTCCCACTCTGCTGGCTCATTTCCATAATGCAGGCAATCAATTCTTAATATCACCCATCTTTAAAACAAAAACAGACCCTCTCTTGACTCCGTGTCCTTCATCTACTGCCCAGTTTCTCTACGCTTTTATTCCTTTCCACCAAAATTGCTCTTTGAGCCCACCATGCCCTGCATCTTACAAAGCTTATGATGCATCTCTATCCTCATCTGCCAATTGGCAGCATTGGTAAGATTAACACTGCTCAAGTGTGAGATAAATTCTGCTCAAACCCCTTTCTTCTCTAGACTTCTTGATATTCAGTGTTCTCCTGCCTTAGTGGCACTTCTTTCTAATCTCCTTTGCTGGTTCTTCCTTTGCCAAATCTCTAAATATGGAGTGCCTCAGAGTTCCTTCCCTGGCCTTCTTTTTTCTAACTAACTATGCTTTTTTCCTTGGTGACCTTATCTCCCTACTCTCATAACTTTATCCATTCTTTTAAAGAGGACTAATGATCCCAAATCTGCAATTCCAGTGGGACTTCTCCCTGGAGCTGCTGACTCGTGGATTTACATGTATCTTTAACAGCATGATCAGTTCAAAACAATTAAGATCTCTTCCCAATCTCAGTAAATGCTTTCAGGCTCACTTTATATTACCCTTAAATACTTTTTTCACTAGCCCACACCCATCCATCTTTCTCCCAAGTACTCCTGAAATCTGACCTCTGGACACCATCTCCAGTGCTGCAAATCTGGGCCGCAGCACGTCACCTCCTGACCGCTGCATCAGTCCACTGGCTCTGCCCCTACTCTTGCCTTACAGCAGTTTCTCTTGGTAGCCAAGGTGACATTCAAACCTTAGAATCTGTCATTTTTTTCTGCTCAATGTGCTCCAGTGGCTTCCCTCACACCTAAAATAAAGTCCAGATTCCTCCAAATGCAATGTGAGGAACTTGGTTTGATCCTGATTTGGAGGGAGACTTTTAAAAAAGAAAACGGCTAAAATTGGAGACATTTGAGGAAATTAGATTATGGCTGCATAATCAGAGGATATTAGGAAATTATTACTTTTCCTAGCTATGATAATGTGTTAGAGGTTATGTAGGAGAAATCCCTAGTTTTTAGGAGATGGGCTGATATATTTAGTAAAGTATAATATCTGAAATATATTTCCAAATAGCTTGGTAAGAAATGTGTATTAATGTAAAGAGAAAGCAATATAAGACAGTATTAATGATTGTTGAATCTAGGTGGGGAGTATAATAGTGTTTGTTATACTATTTCAACTTTTCTATAGATTTATTTGTAATAGAAAGTTGGGAGGAGGACGTCCACACTCCTTGCTGTGGCCTATAACCCTCTACTCCAGGCAGCCTCCGGTCACCTCTGATCTCCCTGCCCCCTGCTCATCCATCCCAGTGTTCACCATGCTCTGCCACACTGGCTTCTCTCAG